ATAATAAACAAAGTGCAAAAATGATGGTTTTTTTTACAAAAAATATATGGTGAATGGTAAATGTCACGTAAACAACGTGAAACTGTGTACTCGGGGGTTTTCGGGGTCGCTGATTACGAATCCGGCATCAGATTTTTAAAATTCAAAATGGCGAATCCAAGATGGCGGACCAAAATGTAATAAGTTACTTGATCATGATGAAACTGGGTACTCGGGGGTTTTCGGGGTCGCTGATTACGAATCCGGCATCAGATTTTTAAAATTCAAAATGGCGGATCCAAGATGGCGGACCAAAATGTAATAAGTTACTTGATCATGATGAAACTGGATACTCGGGGGTTTTCGGGGTCGCTGATTACGAATCCGGCATCAGATTTTGAAAATTCAAAATGGCGGATCCAAGATGGCGGACTAAAATGTAATAAGTTACTTGATCATGATGAAACTGGATACTCGGGGGTTTTCGGGGTCGCTGATTACGAATCCGGCATCAGATTTTGAAAATTCAAAATGGCGGATCCAAGATGGCGGACCAAAATGTAATAAGTTACTTGATCATGATGAAACTGGGTACTCGGGGGTTTTCGGGGTCGCTGATTACGAATCCGGCATCAGATTTTTAAAATTCAAAATAGCGGATCCAAGATGGCGGACCAAAATGTAATAAGTTACTTGATCATGATGAAACTGGGTACTCGGGGGTTTTCGGAGTCGCTGATTACGAATCCGGCATCAAATTTTTAAAATTCAAAATGGCGAATCTATAACGGCGGACCGCAAACCAATAAGTTGCTTGATCGTGATGAAACTGGATTCTTAGGTTTTTTGAGCTCACGAATTACTAATCCGATGTTATATTTTCAATGTAATACTTGTAACTGACAAACAACAACTGACAACAACCGCCACGTCCACGTTCGTGTCTCTGGATTTGACTGAGAGCGGTACTTTTTGGAAAATTGGAACTCACAATTTGTCGGTTACAAGTACTACATTGAAAATATAACATCGGATTAGTAATTCGTGACCTCAAAAAACCTAAGAATCCAGTTTCATCACAATCAAGTAACTTATTACGTTTTGGTCCGCCATCTTGGATCCGCCATTCTGAATTTTAAAAATCTGATTCCGGATTCGTAATCAGCGACCCCGAAAACCCCCGAGTAACAAATTCCAGCTGTTTTCCATGCAAGGAAAAATGTACGCTTGAAACGGTTAAAGCAATATTAGATTTACCCTCGCTCACCAAGGAAGATTCAACCGAGCTGCGTCGAATCGCGGACGGGGCAATCCGACATGTACAAGCCCTCAAGGCACTTAAATGTCCCACGGCGCACTGGGACGATCTGTTAGTATACATTCTAACCTCAAAATTCGATCCACGTACATTACGAGAATGGCAGTCCTCTTTAACAGGTACTGAAACTCCCACATTTAAACAATTTAACGATTTTATTTCTCAACATTGTTTGGTGTTAGAGACCACAAACAAGGTCAGTCTCGCTTCCAAGAACACTAACAAAAATTCACAAACCAACGCAAAACGACAATCCACATGTGTAGCAACAGTTAAATCCAAGTGCAACTATTGCAAGGGCGAGCATCCCATGTATTACTGCAAGGAGTTTTTGGCACTGCCGATCAAGCAAAGGGCGGTAGAGGTACGCAATCGTAAACTTTGTGTCAACTATCTCCGCTCTCCGATGCATTCATTGGACAAATGCACATCTAGAGGTTGCAAAATTTGCAATGTCAAACACAATACGTTGTTGCATACGAGCACCAGCTCGGCGGAGGACCACTCCGGTACTTCCGGCACGGGGGAATCAAGCATACAAAATTCCGCGACAGCCGTGACAACACATTCGTCGAACATTCAAGGCAAAGATCACATCATGCTTTCCACAGCTGTGGTCAATGTCATTGCCTCCGATGGCACATCACATTCATGTCGAGCTTTACTACATTCTGGATCTCAAGCAAGTTTTATTTCTAGACAACTCGCCGCAACTCTTGGTTTACCGCTACGCCCGCTAAACGTCAGAATATCTGGTGTCAACAGTACCTCATCAAATGTTACAATGGCGACCAAGGTAACACTGCAATCCAGATTAAATTCTTATTGTAGGACGATAGACTGCATAGTAATAGAGCGGATAACCGAGAAGCTTCCACTGACTACTTCAAGGCGTGGAGACTACAACATTCCTCGAAACCTCAAGCTAGCGGACCCCCATTTCAACGTTTCCTCCAAGGTCGACATTTTGATCGGAGCAGAAATATTTTGGGAGCTACTTTGCATATGACAAATCGAGGCCACTCACAGCCATCCAACTCTGCAAAAAACAAGATTAGGATGGATTCTGGCTGGACGTCGCAGCATCACAGCGGCGCCTGCAGAAAACGTGCGAGCATTCACCACAGTCATATCCAATGCTCAACTGCACGATCAACTAACACGGTTCTGGCAAATTGAACATCTCGGCAATCAAGTCGTGAACAACAAGGACGATGCTTACTGCGAGGAGCATTTCGAAGCTAACGTTGGCCAGAACGAACAGGGCAGATACATAGTAAAACTTTCAATCAAGGAAGAATTAATCGGCAACCTTGGCAGCACAAGGGACATCGCATTGCGACGCTTACAAGGAACAGAGCGTCGGTTCATACGAGATCCCAACTTAAGGGACCAATATATCCACTTCATGGACGAATATTTGAAACTAGGACACATGAAGGAAGTCAGCGTGTCTCCATTTGAGGATACAGCATCTTTCTACTTGCCTCATCATGGCACTAAACAGTCATCCAAGATTCGTGTCGTTTTCGACGCTTCAAGTAAGAGCGACACAGGATTATCATTAAACGACGTCTTGAGAGTCGGCCCAGTGGTGCAGCAAGATTTGATGTCAATCGTGATGCGATTCCACCTTCGTTCACGCTTTGATCGCAGACATCATAAAAATGTACCGACAGGTGCTTATGCACCCTTCGCAAACATCTCTTTAAAGAATTTTGTGGCGCAGCGACTCCAAGGCGGACATCAAGACATACAAACTGATGACAGTGACTTATGGCACGTCATCAGCTTCTTTTCTCACAACCAGGTGCATCAAACATCTAGCCGATCATCATTCATCCACGTTTCCCATTGGATCAGCGTGTATAAGGCGCGACTTCTATGTCGACGATCTACTAACCAGTGCAGACACCATCCAAGAAGCCGAGACTCTTCGAGATGAAGCGATCGAACTACTGAGGCTAGGCGCATTTGAGCTTGGAAAATAGGCTTCCAACACCCCAGAATTGCTGGACGCAAAACCCAATAAAAATGACAAACCTGTTGTCATCGACGACGACGAAAGCGCTCACATCTTGGGGATCAAATGGAACGCCAACACAGACACGTTACATTTTTCATACGATCCTGTCATGTCACATGACGCAATTTCAAAACGGAAAATTCTATCGGACGTTTCCAAATTATACGATCCGTTAGGCTTACTTGGTCCGATCATCGTCATCGCCAAGTTAATACTGCAAGATCTCTGGCGAGCATCGATTGGGACGAGTCAGTTCCTCAGAACTTACACGTACGATGGATCACCTTCAAGTCGCAGTTGACGGAGCTCAACCGACTAGCGATTCCCAGACGTGTCAAATACAGCATTGACCGTCGACATATACAAATACATGGCTTCTGTGATGCCAGTCAAAATGCATATGGAGCCTGCGTGTACATACGGATTGAGCTCGATGTGAACAAGTATCGTTCAGAACTTTTTTGCTCCAAATCAAGAATTGCGCCGTTGAAGGCTGTATCATTGCCAAGGCTGGAACTATCTGCAACGCTTCTACTGGCATGGCTGATGGACAAGGTTCGATTGTCAATAGATACGTCTGACATCAAGGTGTATCTATGGTCGGATTCAACAATTACATTGAGCTGGATATCCTCAGAATCACGCAAGTTTTCAGTTTTCGTCGCAAACCGCATAGGGGAAATCCAACGGTTGACTCAAGCGACGGATTGGCGACACGTACCGTCCGGTCAAAATCCAGCCGACTTACTTTCACAAGGTTTAAATCCAAGCGATTTAATTCATGCAACCACTTGGTGGAAGGGTCCCGACTTTCTGCAACACAATGAGATTTTCTGGCCCGCCAATCAATTTTTACGTCAGGAGGACACCTCCGAACTTCGAAAAATATACGTTAACATTGCAGTCGTTGACACCAGCGTCATAGAAGACATACTCAACAATCATTCAAACCTTGACAGAGCCTGTCGCGTTGTGGCATATTGCTTGAGGTTCTTGCGAAGACCTGCAGGCATTACAACACATTTCATCTCTCACGAAGAAACCACGGCAGCATTGCAACTAATGTGTAGGATTGTGCAACAGCATTCCTTTCTCGAGGAGTACAAGGCCTTGAGCAGCAACAAGAGCCTCAATACATCCAGCGGGATTTTGACACTCAATCCATTTTTCGACGATGGATTAATTAAAGTTGGAGGCCGATTAAAACATTCAAATCTAACACAGGTCGCGCGTCACCCGGTGCTGCTGCCGAAAAATCACGAACTATCAAGACGAATCATCACGCAAGCGCATGTGCGTAGCTTACATGCCGGCACCCAGGCTACGATGGCCGCCGTCCGACAACAATTTTGGCCCCTAGCATTGCGATCTCTAACACGAAAAATCATTTTAAAGTGCGTTAAATGTTTTAAGTTTAAGCCTGTTCATTCAGAAACCATTATGAGCTCCTTACCCCCTAGTCGCATCACCGTTTCCCGACCATTCTCGTATTGCGGCGTGGACTACGCCGGTCCGTAACCCTACGAGAGGGGAACGCAGAAACGCGCTCACTCACAAAGCATACATCGCCATGTTCGTATGCTTCGCTACTAAAGCGGTACACATAGAACTAGTCAGTGATTTAACCACCGACACGTTCTTAAAAGGTTTATATCGCGTAGAGGGAAGCCTTCCCACATGTGGTCAGACAATGGCACTACCTTCGTAGGTTCCCGTCATCGTTTGCGCGAATTCTCTAATTTTCTTGAAAAAGAGTGCATACAAAATGAAATCCAGTTATTTTTGCACGAACAGCGAATAACATGGAACTTCATACCATCCAACGCTCCACATTGTGGAGGACTCTGGGAAGCCGCGATAAAGTCTGCAAAATTCCACTTATATCGCATAATCGGCAATGCTCATCTAACTTTCGAAGAGATGCAGACTATTTTATGCGATGTAGAAGCGATATTAAATTCACGGCCCATCGCTCCATTGAGCGAAGACCCCAATGACCTCGCTTATTTGAGCCCCGGACATTTTCTAATCGGCACTACCGTAGACAGTTTTCCTTGCCACGATTTGAGCGACATAAGCGAAAATAGGCTCGTTCGTTGGCAACGCGTAGAACAATTGAGGCAACATTTCTGGCGACGGTGGAGTTCAGAATACCTCCACACCTTACAAGCGTGTTCCAAATGGAAGATTAGCAAGGGGATCAATTAAAGATCGGTCAAGTCGTACTAATAAGACAGTAGGGGTTACACCCTCTGCACTGGCTGTTAGGGCGCGTACAAGGCGTCCATCCAGGCACAGACGGCGTTGTAAGAACCGCTGAGATAAAAACAGCAAAGGGCATTCTTACGAGACCGTTAACTAGAATAGCGATATTACCTATAGATGACTCCAGTGATAAACGCTAGACATCAAATATGTTCTGTTTTCGCGCACAACTTTATCATGTTATTATACTCAACTTAGGTTAAGCACATCAAAATTGTTTGCGTTTGCACATATCAAGCATGCAGCGTCGCACATTTTGTCAACTCTCAACGTTAATTCGTTTCTAACTTCATAAGGCTCTGAGAGCTTGCGTTGCGGTGACGACCAGTTGCCGTTTCCTTTTTCTTGTTTCACCATTCGTTTACATTTTGCAAGCGGAGCCTTTCAAGGGCGGCGGCGTTGTATAATAATTAGTCAAACTTTCATTATTTACTTCACGTTCTCATAGTTTAAAGCATAAGCTATGTATTATTCACCGTCCGCGAGGATTGTATTCGCGGCATGCACGGTCTCGCGTCATGATCGCATGTCTAATTGCTTTCGGCGCGACACGCATTATTAGAGAGGGCGTACAGAGCTCTCGTGTACGTACAGAGGGAGTACAAGTCCGTTTTCCGTTACGACAACAACGAAAGTTTTCGAGAGCATTCGACGTGTGATTTCCTTCGCTCCAACACAGTTTTGTATCCCAGTGAACGGCAATAAATTTAATGTGAAATAAGAGGAAGTCAATTACTTTTCTCGACCACAATGCTACTGACGGATTACCCGGTGGCACGTGTGACGGGCACATACTCGTGGCGTCTCATTCGCCGTTTACTCAACACGAGATATTTTACACTTTATTTTGATACATATTGGCACAAAATGTTAAATAACTCGTAAACTGTTGACTTTTTGATTATCGTACCTTAATACTTTTGTGAACAAAATAATGAGATAAATCAAATGGTGTAAAGAAAACACATAGTTGCGTATTTAAAAAATTATCCATTTTGTATACATATTTTTTTTAAATCAACTATGTGTTTTGCCATGTCTACTGCCATGTCCGCCGAACGGAATAACTTGCAACATTTCATTGCCATATTGAATATTTATATGTGTGTAGTATACTTGCGACTGTCTGCACGTATTTGTACACATATACATTAGGGTGCCCAATTTTAATCGAAATTTTTTAAATTTTCGATGCCACCCCGTAAAAACGTTTATTTTGGTGTCAAATTGATGCCTAATTTTTTTCAGATTTTAAAAAAATTTTTTACAGGTCGAGCACGGCAGTTTTTTTATGAAAATTCCACTTTTTTATACTCGTAATATAGGTTAACATGGTTTTTACTTAAAATGTTACTCAAATATTCCAAGAACACACAAATACATCATGTACAGAAAAAAAGACATATTTTTCTGTGTGTTAGAACCCCTTAAGAGGTACAAACTTGTAATTTAAAGGAATGAAATGTTATAAAATGCCACTTAATTTGTTTTCCCAATAAAATTCAACCATAAAAAATTGTGTGCCACCTACAAATTCATTGAAAAAATATATGGAAAGACAAATAGGCGATCGGGGCAAATCGTGCCAGCACGGAATACTTAAAATTAACGCCATCAAACCTAACGCTCGGCAAAATTCTGAAAAAAATCCCTCTGAAAAAGGGGCGAATTTAATATCAATGAAGTACACAACAATTAAAACTTTAAACGGTCGGTTCATGCTCCGAACGACGTGCCAACATGAAACACAGAAAGTCACTACAGTGGCGTAGCGTGGACTAATATAGACGTGGGCGAAGTCGCATCAGCGAGGCCCCTTTTCTTTCGTTCCCAAGATCTTTCCAATAAATCTATCTTACCACTCATGACAGTGAAAAAGTATAAATGCGCGGTGGGAGAATATTGAAAAGCATATAGATTTGAAAAAAAGTTTTATTTTTTACAAAAGTAATGTTCTTCGGTGTTTTGCTTTACTGAAGTCCTCTAGTAAAGATTTGTAATCAATTTTTGCTGCTAAATCTGCTTCGATAGAGAGCAATGCTAACCCAGACAATCGCTCCTGCTTCATACTGTTCCTTAAGTAGTTTTTAATAATTTTTAACTTAGAAAAACTTCTTTCTGCGGAAGCTGTACTTACAGGCATAGTCAACATAATTCTAATAGCAATGTAAACATTAGGATAGATGTCTTCCAATTTATTTGTAACTATGTATTGAATCATCTGATGCAGCCGCCCGAATATGCTATTAAGCGACTCACTCACTCAAGTCACACGCGCCAAGTTTAAATAAGCGAAAGGCTACCGTGTCTTTAATTCTTTATAAAGCGTAAAACTGGGAGTTACGTTTTGTTATTATTATCTATTTCAGGTTCAGAAAAAACTGTATTTTCAGTTTTGTTTTGCCATTATTTGAAAATAATAACTACAGGCCACAAACAAACACGGTTTTAAAAGAGACAAAATTTTTTGGTACTTTAATCCAAAAAAATACTACATGTTGAAAGTTTCATTGATATACTATTTGAAACAGACGAATGTTATTCTATATCTATATATACTTCTATTCTGATATATATAGATATACCGTATCATATGTATCCGCCAATTCCGCGTCCGCAGATCCGCTCCATCTGAAGGCACCCTCACTGTTTTGTATTTTAAGTCTAGTGGCATCGCATCTAAAGAGGCCTCGCGTGGCCCCTTTAAGTGCGAGGCCGTGGGCGAGGGCCCACTTCGCCCACGCCTAGTTACGCTACTGAGTCACTAAACCATAATTCGCCGATATTCATACAATTAATGAACAATTAATGACAAAGAGCATATCTTGAAGACCAAAAACACAATAAAATAATATTGCAAAAAAAACGGGCCCTAAAATAACTAAAACATAAGGGAAATATGATGTTAAAGCAACATAACCCAATTCTGTCAAAAGTTAAATATTGTGTTTTTGGTCTTCAAGATATGCTCTTTGTCATTAATTGTTCATTAATTGTATGAATATCGGCGAATTATGGTCTAGTGACTTTCTGTGTTTCATGTTGGCACGTCGTTCGGAGCATGAACCGACCGTTTAAAATTTTAATTGTTGTGTACTTCATTGATATTAAATTCGCCCCTTTTTCAGAGGGATTTTTTTCAGAATTTTGCCGAGCGTTAGGTTTGATGGCGTTAATTTTAAAGTATTCCGTGCTGGCACGATTTGCTCCGATCGCCTATTTGTCTTTCCATATATTTTTTCAATGAATTTGTAGGTGGCACACAATTTTTTATGGTTCAATTTTATTGGGAAAACAAATTAAGTGGCATTTTGTAACATTTCATTCCTTTGAATTACAAGTTTGTACCTCTTAAGGGTTCTAACACACAGAAAAATATGTCTTTTTTTCTGTACATGATGTATTTGTGTGTTCTTGGAATATTTGAGTAACATTTTAAGTAAAAACCATGTTTTTTTAACCTATATTACCACTTACGAGTATAAAAAAGTGGAATTTTCATAAAAACTGCCGTGTGCGACCTGTAAAAAATTTTTTTTAAATCTGAAAAAAATTAGGCATCAATTAGGCTCTCTCATAATTTTCTAATTCCAATGATTTTAATATATATTGAAATGTATGATTAATAAAGCATATTTACATAAATAGTTTGTAATTTTGTTGCATATTTACACCACAATCGTAAATTAAAAACTACGAAATTTCAAATATTTTCATACGATCCGAAAACATCTGTGATTGGCTGACACGCTCGTGACGTCACGATACTACTTATTTTAAATTTATGCACTGTTATTACGTTAGAAATTAATTTATACGTTAATTGTCAACTCGTTATGAGCGAAATGGACGTAGGATTTATAAAAGCTGATTCCACAAATCTACCTAAAGTGGATGTGTTTATGGTATCCGATTTTTTAAGAAGAGATGACAGATACAGTGTAGGTGAAGGTAGAGGTGTAAAAACATCAATGTAAGTACATGTACATATATATTTATATATAAGTAAAAGAAAACTTTGAATGAGCACATTAACTACGTTATTGTATTAAATAATATATTTATTTGAAATTCAATTTCTGTTTCAGATCTGCTCGTGAAAGCTATGGCGATGCAGCCATAGGTTATGTTTGCCTCCGGAGAGAAGGTACATTGTGTACTGTCAAAGGTGAAATATGTCCGGAGCACAGAGTTCGTAGCAAGAGCTATGATGTATCTGTAATAGTGGATGAAAAAGAAAATGTTATCCAGGACGTGAAATGTCATGATTGTGCAGCATCATCAGGTAATTTGTAATATTATGCTCGAAGAAAAAAGTCAATAAAGTTTGTACAGCCAGTCGTATAGGGAAATGTTATGTACGGTGGATCATCGGAGGAAAAGTTGAAATGTAGAATATATGATATATATAATATATGTTTATGTATGTTTTATATATATTGTGACGTGACATTTTGTCAGTCACCCAGAAAAACGGCATAACGCGAGATCCTGGGTCCTTCAGGGTCAGCGGGCGAGCGCACAAGCGAATGTGCGACATTATTATTTAATTTTATTTCATTTTTGCGATTATTGTATTATTTAATTGATATTCTCTTTGTGCGATTGTTGTATTATTTTTCTTTTTTTCTTCTTGTCGCTATTTAGTTAAGTTTTAGTTAATATTAAGACGATCCTGAGCTCGGATTTTGCCG